GAAAGAAAGAGAATAATGTCTTAACTCCTGAGCCATATGAAAGGCAAAGTAATTATTGTGCTTTTTTGGCACAGCTCCTGGTGTATCATTTGAAGCAAAGCATTCCTATACTGCCCTGCTTTGAGCCACATCTATGGTTTTCTCTTTTTCTCTCTCTCTGTTTTCATTCATTGGCTGGTGTTCTACCACGTGTTCTACCACCTCCAACCCTAACTTTTCTCTCCACAGGCCACTCCCACAGCATTCTTGGCAGGCGGGGAGTACTCCTAACCCACTGAGGAAGCGAGGACACTTTCCTGCACAGAGAAGATGGGACTGGCCCTCAGCCTACCCGCATGGCGTTTGCGTCTGGGAACTTGAAGGAGCATGCTCGGGGTCACACTGCATCCTTTGCTGAAATCCTAACTTGTTCCTTCATCACCGTCATCTCCGTTCACGCCTCTGGCGGGGACCTTGGAGGGCCAGAAGCCATTGCTGCCGTTGCTTTTGGAAGATGGCAGATGCAGCCCTGCAGAGTTGTGGACGTGGGGCAGAGGCAAGTGTTCCAGCTGGGCTGGAGCTGCGCACAGGTGCCTTCTTGGCTAAAAGTCCTAGTAGTGCAAAAGAGATCAGTGACCAGTGAGTATTGCCTCCTGTGCCTTCTTTTGTGTCACCCCAACTTTTGCTTAGAGAGTTTCCCTTTCCCTTTGCTGACAAGCCAAGCTCTTATCTCTTTTATCAAGTCAACAAATACTCACATACAAGAGGCAGCATCATTTTCCTTCTTTCTTTTCGGCAAGAGAACCTAAGCAGAACTACTCCCAGAAGCAATTGAGGGTGTCTGTCAGCTGTGATTAAAGAGTGAACAATTACCAGCCTAAGCAGTTTCTAGAATGTTCTCACTTCCAGACCGTCACCCTGAAGAGTGTGAAACCAAAAGGACCGCCTGATGGTTCACGTTGCCAATGCGTGGGCAGCCAAGTTGAATGGAACATGCAGCTTTTACTTTGAAAGGGGGTCCAGAAGCAAGTGGAGGCTGCCTACAAGTAGCAGCTCGTCATTTTCAAAGACTTCCCAGGTATCTGGCAACCAGGAGATCAACATTCTGCGCTCTTCTCCCAAAGGCATCCAGGAAAACCGTATGCTTGGTACATTCTCTGCAACTCCTGGGGAAAAACCTATCATCTCTTCCCTTCTATCCCCAAACAAAACTGTTGCAATACAGGTGAGTGAGTGATGCTGTATCATTTGTGTTTAATCTTGAATGGATGCATTTTCTAAGGATTCAGTGGTCAATGGCAGTCAATAACACATCACCCAGTGAGTGTCCTACCCACCTTCGTGTTTGCTGTTCACGGCCAATGCAGCCTTCTCTGCATTCTTCCAATTTCATTTGCCCTTCTTGGAAGGCCGTAGTCACCTTCTGGACTGCCGTCCCCTGAAATTGTTGTGCACTCTGATAGCTACAATTGTAGACAACCAATCTTTGCAATGATTATCTGGTCTTGGTTCTGGCCGAGTTGGAGATTTGGTAGCATATGTGCCAAAGCGGATTGTAAGTACATCTCAAGGAACAAGCCATTTTCAGTTTGGGTGTGAGTTGTTGTCCTTTGAACACGCAGTGAGAGGGCTTGCCCCTCACAGTGCCTAAGGCAGGAATGCCACGGAAAAACACGCACTTGAGGAGACAGGGACACCCAAGGTTTCAGTCACGGATCCTCCCTGGCCTTAGGAAAGCCCTTAACTTGTCTCAACCATCAGATTTTCATTTCTGAAACAAAAATAGAAGAATTGCTAGAGGTTTAGCACCAGCCAGCCCTGACATACGCTAGGACCTACCAGGAAAGAGAGTATTTATGCATTCCAATACCACAGTCTGTCATGGACAGACGAATGCAAGAGAGAGAGAGATGAGGGAGTCAGAAGTCCCAGTATTTTGAAGAATATGGGGTACTCGGAGTGATGACACACGGTCGTTTTGGATGAGCCAGGAGAGAGGTGGAAGAAAGAAAACTGAAGGATGAAATGCTACTCCGGAACCTTTGCAATAGCCTGGGGGAAGTTTTTGAGATTTAAGAGATTTAAGGCCCTTAATGCATACAATTAGAATCACAGAATAATCTCCATTTTTGGCCCACCCTATAATGTCACATGGATTTGTGTGATGCTTAGACAATCCCAGAGCAACTGCTTTTTAGAAGACATTAGAGGAGACATTTTAACCATGACTCCTCAGGGAAAATTCCTCAAACTCCCAATAGAAGCTGTAAACATGTGAGAATAAGTATGACAATCCCTTGTTTAGCTGTAACCATTTCAGAGAGTTTCTGGCATGCGTAAAGGTAGAAGTTTTTGTGGATGGGCAAACAGCAGCTCCACATTTACAGTGTTCATCTCAGTTTGTCACTAAGTCCTGGGTGACATTATCAATCTTTTATAAAACTGGAATGTTTCTACCCAGTAGCAAGCTGGTGGGGGAGACCATGTTACAAGTCTGCCACCCTTGAGGCAGGGGCAGTGGAGCTGTGGGTACCGGACAATTATTTGTGGATAACTTTACATGGATACAATCGTCATGTTTTTGATGACCGAAAGATTTTCTAGTTGTGTATTTTGATTAGAAGGTGGCATTAGCACTAGCTTTCCGATACTTGTAAACATGTTCTATTTGTAAAATTTACGTTTCATCCATGAAAGTGTTTAAAGATCATCACGAACAGGGAATCACATTGTGTTACTTTGCTGAAGACAAAGGGTGTCCATTCTTGCCACAAGGCAGTGCCTCCCTTAAAGGGAAGTCTGGGTCAAAAGCCATATTTTCAAATTCAGTTCCTGAAAGAGCTGGTTCTCAACTATGAAGTTCATCCTTCCTGCCAAGGCAAGTCAGGTTTGTATGCTCACTTCCTTCTCTTCCCTTCCCTTGTTTTCCGTTCTATTACTTTCTTTTCCTTTCCTCTCTACCCTACCCTACCCCTCCACTACTTCTTGAGCACACTCCCAGTTCTTTTTCTGTTTTAGCCTTTTTTTTTCAAATAAAGATTTTGAACTTTTGCCCACAAAAGTTTTGGCCTACAATCCCCTCCCCTTGCTCCTGAGTAACTAGGATTACAGTCATGCCCACCACCTTGGCCATATTCACTTTTTCCCTAGATGTCTTTCTGCACACACACCCGGTAGAGCTGTTAGGGGACATGCAGAGAGTCCAAAGCACCTCAAGTCCAGCCAGCTTCTCAGCGCCAAAATCCAAGTTCTGCATACAAAGCTGTCCATCTGACCAACACAAAGTCACTGTCCAGAGAAATGGCTAAGAAAGCAGCCATATTCACAATCCAAAGACAACCTACCACAGAACCCAAATACACATGCAAACTCAGATTCCACTGCAACATGGAAAAGGTTTTGTCTTTTAGAAAAATTTAAGAGAAGGAATACTTGCAGCAGGGAAGGAGGGCAAGTTTTTGAGTCAGGACCTTCGCTTTGAAGGTCACATACATTATTTCAATCTGTTTTGGAATCCTTAGAGGAAGTTATGTAAATGGATGAATGGGACACAGAGATAGTCAGTTTTGGGCCAGTGATTCTTGTAAGGAATGATATAAAAAACATAACCCCTATTTTAAATTCTTATTGTTGAGTGACAGGCATACTTGAAATATTTTTAGAGTTCCATTGTCATCATTAGTAACAATCTGAGTTAAATAAGGTCTGTCAAAACTTGGTATATAGAAAGCACAGAGTAACACATTTTCAAGTTCTGGATAAAGTGGGACTAGCTGTGGCACGGTGGGATGTCCCACCAGAAAAAAATGGGGATTCTGTCAAAAATGTTGAGAACCCCTATTTGGGCAGCTCTTGGTGCTCAATCAGTGTGCATGCAAAACTGAACACCAATGTGTCTTTCAGGCCAGGCTGTACTGGATCTTAGGACTCATTACAGCCTGCCACAGGTGAACCTTGTCCATTTTGCAATAGGCAGGCAAAAAGAAGTATATTTTGCATTTCAAAGTATTATAAGCTCCTACTGAGGAGACTGAGATCTGAGGATCACAGTTCAAAGCCATCCTGGGCAGGAAAGTCCGCGAGACTCTTATCTCCAATAAACCACCAGAAAACCAGAAGTGGTGCAGTGGCTCAAGTGGTAGAGCACTAGCCTTGAGCTGAAGAGCTGAGGAACAGTGCCCAGGTCCAGAGTTCAAGCCCCATGACCAACCAAAATAAATAAATAAAAAATTATAAGCTCTCTGGATTTCCTTAATGGAGTTCTAGAAAAGGGAAAGTAGTTTAAGAAAGGCCTTTCTAAGCCACATCTCCAAAAGGTTGTGAAGTACAAAGCCTCCCTCTTAGCACCCACCCCACCCACCTGAACCTCTTGATCATGAAACAGATGATAGAAGAAACTTTCTTTCTGAATTTGGAACTATTCAAAGTCCTTACTTTGTAAAAGCAAGCCTCACTCTGCCATCTTTTTATTTTTTAAGTCATTTTGTTCATGATGTCCAGACCCACAAGCTCCAGAATGCTCCATGGTCTCACTCTGAGGCCAGTGTCCTTTAGTCTTATGTCTAGGGGACATGGCTGGGAGTCAGCCTAGGCAACCAGAGGAGGTAAATCTCGCAGTCCAGTGTCACCCATGTGGAGCCACTGGATCTACTGGAAGTGGTGCAGTTTAAAAGCTCCTTCTTAAAGCAGTGTGCCAGGATATCTGTCACCATCTTATAGCTCTTCTTTCTATAGCCTCTCTTCACACATGTCAAATGTGGCTGTCAGTAGGGTTAGCCTGAAAATAAAATTCCCCCCACTTCCATCGAGAAAGCATGTGTGCTCAAGATAGTCACGAGGAAATCATAATCCTATATTTATAGTCTTTTGGGTTGTGTACGGAATTCTGCTTCCCGTGGTGGTTTCCATGGGAAGGGCCAGTCATGGAAGGCAGGCTTGGAAGGATGGCCAGTGTGGGAAGGGGTGTTCAGATGCAGAGACAGGCTGTCTACGGTCACTGTGAGTGTTGGGAAACATCCCACCCCATCCCTAGGTGCTACTGCTGCTTGACCAGGTACATCCCCTCTCCATCTCCAGGCCCAGTTTGTCCACTCAGTGGATGGTCCTCCTCCAGGAAGGATGACCTGGCATTACAAGTAGGAAGTGTGTGTGTGTGTGTGTGTGTGTGTGTGTGTGTGTGTGTGTTAACCTGGCATCCTTCTTCTCTCTGACCTGTCCCATCCTCTAGACTTCCTCCCCATTTTCACTGAGGGAGATGGTGTGGATCTTAATGGTGGGAATTTGGTGGTTTTCGCCAAGGCTGGGGGTCGAGGGCCCCACACAGCAGCAGACCTGCAAAAAGCTTTTACTTCTCACCCGGGCTGTGGTGCAGGCAGATTGGTCCTTTGGCACTGTAATCCTAGAAGATCCATGCGGCATGGAAGAGAGAAACTTCCATTCGCAGACCCCATCGGTCTTGGAGATCTTATAGAAGGTCTCTCCAGATCCCACGGGGATTCGAACCATGTCCTTGTGCTGCCCTTCCGGGGTGTGGCTGGGGGCATGCAGGGTGTAGCCCAGGGCATGCTTGGAAGACTGCCTTCTACGTAGACACTGGATTCTTAAGACGTTCTGGAAGGCCTTTTTGAATTCTTGGCTGGAGCACGGGTAGATGATGGGGTTGATACAACTGTTTAGGTATCCGAGCCAAAATACGATTTTAAAGACTGTTTCTGAGGGCTTGAACTCAGGGAAGAAAGACCCTGAAAGAAAACACACAGAATTGTGCATGTTATCTGCATGGCAATAGGTTCACTGGTGAGGAAAACCGACTAATAAACATCTTTAAAAACTTCCGAACGATTCCAGATGCATTTGTGCCTCTAACATTCGCTGGTCTGACTATTCTTACGTGGTTTGTGTCCCCATCCAGCCATCAGTGATGGCCTCCGGCAGCTCGCACTCAACCATACAGTATCATTTGATGTCTCTCTTCGTTGGAGCCTCAAAGATCAAAACATGACCTCTTGACTGAGTAGACTATATAAATTGTCCTGCCTGAATTTTAAAACAAGTTGGAATACATTCAACTAATTCACATTCAAATTTGAAAATACCCTTTTAGTCTCTGATGCAGCCAATATGTTTGAATTTGTTCCCTCCTGAAAGTTGGACGTGTGTGTGTGTGTGTGTGTGTGTGTGTGTGTGTGTGTGTGTTTTGGCACCAATCTTAGAGCTTCAACTCAGGGCCTAGGTGCTGTCACTGAGCGGTTTTGCTTAAGGCTAGCATTTTACCACTTGAGCCATAGTTCCACTTCTAACTCTAGCCTTTCTCTTCATTTTCTTAATTTTGTAGGCTATATATTGCAGTTTATGGTGGCTTTCCCCCATTCCTCCCTGTGATGAGCACTTTCATGCATTTCAACCATCAACAGTGATATTAAGAGTTACTTGACTTGTATTTTATAAATAGAGATGCTGCCAACTCATGAGGCCAAATAGCCCAGCCAACGTTATTCAGGTGGTCTCTGGTAGGGCTGGGATTAATATTAGGCAGTCTGATTTCAGTGCCTAAGTTCTTTCATGGGATCTTAAAGCATATTGAATAAAATACATAGGAATACTTCCCGAATCTGCTTGTGCTACTGAAAAGAGCACAGAAAGTAGTCAATCTTCACATGACTACTGGTGCTAGGTAACTATGGCCAATTCCAGGGAAAATTCGCCTTCCATTACAATGTCTATATATCATCCAGCACTTCTTTGTATCAGGGCCAACAGTGTGATTAGGGGAATCTGTTTCACAATGGCCACCTTTCCCTACACTTAGTGACAACAGGCCTGGATGAGCCGGGTATAGCAAAAATCAGCCTGTCTGGAAATTTCATCTCTAAATAAATCATCTGTGGAGGGGAGAGTGTTTCCCTTATTTGAAGAATTTTACTGAACAGCAAAAAAGAAAAAAAAATACATGAACTATGAATGTGAATGCTGTTATAGTGATCGGAGAGTCCTGAAATCTCCCATGATTCCTTCAAGGACACACTCTCTGCGTACAGAGTCCAGCTCTGTGCTCATAAATCTCACCATTTCCATTTGGTCATCTCCTTCTCATTCCCCCCTTTCTTCCCTCACACCCCACCCCTTAATTCCAGAGCCAAGTTCCCAGGCTCTCTCTTTCCTGTGATCCACATGCTACATGCACACTGCCAGAAGTAAAGGAAGTTCTTCTTTTGTTTACATGCCTCACTTGAAACATCCATTGGTCTTCCATGAAGCTGAGGTATAGGATGAGAAAGAGTAAAAAACAAAACAAAACAACTCTAGAGCACTCTTGGCTAGTTTGCAAGAACACCCCCGCAGTATATGCTGCTGGAGAACTAACATATTAAGATTTGGATGTAAAATTAGTCTCCAGCCTCAATCTTTCAGGGATATTTGCTTGCTAATCTAAGAACGTATTTGGACATTGGCTTTTCAGATGGTGAGTGGGAGATACTTCCAGGCCAAAGACCTTCCCATAAACAGCACCATTTGGTTTATTCCACTGAGGGTGGGACCAATTCCAGACATGTCTAAATCTAGTACAGATTTGCCGACTCCCAGTCTAACAAGTCCACCAGGGGCAGGTGTCGGATGGGATACACTTTTGCTTGGAAATGTCTTTGTCCCCTGGGAAGCCAAATGGCTTTGGCTTGGAGAGGATTCATTATGATAATTCCTTTTGACACTTTCCAAAGGATGAGAAAAGAGAGCAAAGGGCTGGTTCCTCCCATGGCCATTACTCTCATCTCCCATCCTCAGCTCATCTTTTTCTCCTCTTTGGAAGGGCAGCTATAGCTGGAGTTAGGCTTGGCAAAGAGCTGTAACTACCTGATTCCTATCAGAGTTCCTCATCCTGTTGTCCAAACCTTCCTAACTCAGGCTCAGTTGAGAGAATTCAACTCCCCACAACTTCCATCCCCAGCTCAGTTGCTTCTTAGGTCTGTTCTCTTTCTCTCTCTCTGTCTCTCTGTCTGTCTCTCTCTCTCTCTGTCTTATGGTGATAAGATTTTAATGGGATTTGTGCTTTCCAGGCAGGTGCTCTATCACTTGAGCCACACACCCAGTCTTATTTTTGCTTTCATTATTTTTTTTGTCAGTTGTGGGGCTTGAACTCAGAGTCTGGGCACTGTCCTTGAGCCTCTTTTTGCTCAAGGCTAGCATCTACCACTTGAGCCATAGTGCCACTACCAGCTTTCATTATTATTATTATTAAAAACGTCTTGCATGTATGCTCAGGCCAGCCTGGAGAGTGATCCTTTTATTCACACTTCTCACCAAGCTGCGATGACAAATGGAAACCAGTTTTTTACTGGTAGAGGTGGGGAATCTCTTTTTGTCTGAGCTGTCATTGAACTGTTATTCTCCTAATCTCAGTCTTCAGAATAGATAGGATTATAGGAGGGAGACGCTGTGCCCAGCCAATCCCTTGATGAGATTGGGTTCTTCTTGATGACTGATGATACTTTTTAGAGTGGGAAGACAGCAGAAGCATGCTATTACCATTCCTCTCTCCATCTGGGCATGAAGGACCAAAGCAAAACAGTAGAGTTAAGGACAGATACCTTCGGCCAATCATTAAGGAATAAATTCCAGTTGAGTAGTTCCGGTTGGGTTTTGCTCACTCTGGAACTTTTGAACCCAGCAGAATGGGATCTCAAAGACTTACTCTGATTCTGTTGAGCCCCTGGTCTCCTGGCTATCACTGTGGATGGCTGCGTGACTGTGTCTCCTTAGCCTCAGTTTCTGCCTCACCAGGTAGTCTGTGACTTTACTTCTTTGTCTCAAAGCCACTACTTTTTGCTTCTCTTCCACCCCCTGCTTTCCTTCTGCAGTTTGTTCCTTTGTGCACTGGTTCTGTTCAGTCCTCTGGTTTTCTCTTTGTGAGTATGACTCCCCCTTTCCTTTCTTGATTCATCATTTGATATTTGGAACTCCAGTTCTTCTCATTATACTTCATACAAAGAAGCAGACTTCTGAGCTACCTACATGAGAACAGGGGCTCCTGTTCCTCTTATCACCAAGCTGTGTTTTACTCCTCAACAATCTCTGCCTAGACTCTGCTTGAAAAGGAGCCAATAGCTCCCGGCTTAATTTCCTGAACATGCTTGTAGGTCAGGTCATCCTTTGCATGTGAATTTGCCTAATTTAATTCTTGGGCTTTGGAAAAATCCCCAAGTCTCTGGAGACATTTCCCTTCACTGAGTTTTTTCCTTCTGTTCTTTAGTTGCTGCAGAATTCCTGAGTCTTTCTTAACTTTCCCAAACTGGCTAGATGGGCATTGGTAGAACAGACGTCATGGCTGAGCACCACCAATAATTTCCTCACCTTTGGAAATTCAGAGCCTTCTCTTTTACTGTGGAAGCTTCTAAATTCCAAGGAGAAATGGAAACTAATGATTTCAAATGGTATCTCCATATGGAGGCCAATCCCAGGGGGAGATTTGATTTCTCATTTTTGACCTGAGGTTTATCTATGGGCTTATGAAGGGGACATCAGGATGTATTTTAGTAAAGACTGGGACATTATAGTCCTATTTAGTTATGAAGTGACAATAAGGCTTTCCCTCTATGATGTTAACATATATTTATTTGTTTGTTTGTTTACTTATTGTGAGTGTTGGTCTCCTATGTGAGTTTGCTGCACACATGGGACTAGAAATGGAGTTGTCTAATTCCAGCTCTGCACTGGTAATTAGGGAGCTTCTTTTAATCCAACAATTTCTTTCAGATTCAGGGTGATTCTCAGACTGGCAGTAGAAAGCTCAGTTGTCAGTCTTCTAGCCTTACAGAGTCTGTGCTCCATTTTCCCCATGTGAAGGCTTGACAGGTCTCTTTAATGACAACCCTGAGAGACACCAGATTGTGGTTAAACTCGTGAGTTAGAGCCATAAATACCTGAGCTGTGAAGATACCTCAGCAGCCCTTCTTTACAGATGAAGACAGGGAGGTCAAGCAGGAAGGCAGCTTCCCCATCTCACACGACTTTGTCGTGGCCAAGGCAGGGCTAGACACAGATTCCATCATCTCACGTATTTCTACTCCCAGCCTTTGTGGGCCACTGAGCAACCCTACACCAGCATGGAAGGTGTTAATGGCAAACTATGTTCAATAATCACGGGATGGTGACAGGCTTTGTACATTAACTAAGGAGAAGGAAGGTGGTATCATCAACTGCTGTATTTCAAAAGTCAGAATGTACTGTTCAGGCTTGTCAGCAGCATATTATATTCTGAAAATTAGTGTTTAATTGGCTGGTTTAGCGCACATGAACTCCAAAGGGGAAGCAAAATCACTCCAAAGGGGAGAAAAACCACTCTGAAGTGTTTCTCATCCAGTGTTTTCTCCAGGTAGTGAACATAGGAGAGAAACAGCTGTTACACAAATAAGTGCCAAGCTTTCTACCAAGGAGCTCTAGGCCCAAGCAAGGTTCAGGCTATACCAGTCAGCCTTTCCATTGGGAAGACTATGCTCCTCCTCCAATGAAGCCCCAGAGAAAAGCGGAAGGTGTCACAGTGCAAGAGCAGACTCAGTTTCTTATCCTCCTGGGGTCAACCAGATGACCTGCAAGTTTGGCTGTCCTGCAGTGACCTAACTGTGCCTTCCTGGGGTCATGCAGGGCCACCTGTGGGCTGTTCTCCATCAGCCAAATGTCTCTGTGGTGTCTGCCTGGAATTATCTCTATGAATGCTGGGCACTGTGAAGGGAAGCCCTGGTCTCAC